CACGAGGACGCCTTCCGCGCCCTCAAGAAGGCGGTGACATGCGCACCGGTTCTTCACCTACCCGATTTTGACCGCCCTTTTATCCTTACCACCGATGCGTCAGACTTCGCCGTAGGAGCAGTGCTTTCTCAGGTTTTCCCCTTATCTCCTGATTCCTCTCATCCTCGTAATCCTCGCTTCCCACCACCTACCCCTACCACTGCTTCCCGACTGACGCCTACTCGTCCAGCTACTGACGAGCCTTCTATTAACTATTCTCCTACAATCGTCGAGGCCGGCACTGTCGAGTCTCGCTCAGGTGATTGTCCGATAGCCTTCTACTCCCGTCAGCTCCTGCCCGCCGAGATAAACTACATTGCTGATGAACGTGAGGTTCTCGCAGTAGTTTATGCCGCTCGGCACTGGCGTCACTACCTGCACGGGGCACCATTCACAGTGCGTACGGACAACTCTGTTGTTCAGGCTTTTCTGACAAAGTCAAAGCTCACTCCTCGACAGGCTCGCTGGTGGCGCGACCTATCCGAGTTTAGTTTCACCACTGAGCACATCAAGGGTGAGACTAATCGGGTCGCCGATGCCCTATCYYGGCGCCCTGACCACGACCAGGAGCACATCCAGCTCTCTTCCATCTCGGTCATCACCGTCCACCACTCGGTGATCGACGAGTTTCGCACTCAGTACCGCCACTGCCCCGACTATCGCGACATCCAYGCGAYCCTTCGGAGTGGCAAGACCGTCCCGAACTACTCTCTCGGGGACAACGGTSTTGTGTACTSGCACGGTTCACAGGGCACCAGAGAGCCCCGTATTTGTGTTCCCTCCACTKGACAGCTACGTGTCCGAGCAGTAGCAGAGTTCCATGACCAGGCAGCTGTTGGTCATATGGGCTTCCACAAGACGTTGGCTCGTGTGAGCCGCCTGTATGTTTGGCCGAAGCGCAAGGACTTTGTGAACGACTACGTTGCAGAGTGCCCCACTTATCAGGAGGTGAACAGTGGGAACCACCTACCTTATGGTTTGCTCCAGCCTCTTCCTATCCCTGAGGGTCGTTGGCAGTCCATCTCGATGGACTTTATCGGTCCTCTTCGACTTGCGACCCCCGCGGTCATGATGCTATCCTGGTCGTCGTCGACCGCTTCACGAAGCGTGCACGCTTTGTTCCGTGCCGCTATGCCATCAGTGCACGTGAGGTCACCGACATCGTATTTGACCGAGTCGTGCATGACCACGGCTTACCTCTGAGCATCATATCTGACCGTGACCTGTGCTTTACCAGTCGATTCTGGCGACGGCTCCACGAGGTGTACGCCACTCAGCTCCGCTTCTCCTCGTCTTACCATCCTCAGACTGATGGTCAGACCGAGATCACGAATAGGACTCTCGGGGATATTCTCCGAAAGATTGTTCGTGACGATCAGCAGTAGGATCTCTATCTTGACCACGCGGAGATAGCCTACAACCATGCCGTCTCGCCAGCCACGGGAATGTCGCCTTACTATTGCGACCTCGGCTATCACCCGCATGTTCCCGTGGACTTCCTTTGACCGTCCCAGATGCACCCCGACACGAGTTGTCCCGCGTTGGATGATTGGGTTGCACACATGACGTCGATTATGAAGACCGCACATGAGCACATAGCTGCTTCCCAGACTCGCATGGCAGCACGTGCGAACCGATCGAGGATGGATCACCCATTCAAGGTCGGTGATGATGTGCTTATCGACGTCCGCCACTTACAGCTCGAAGCAGACACGCTTCGCAAGTTTCGGCGTCGCTTCTTTGGCCCATGCCGCATCCTCTAGGCCGTCGGTTCTGATACGGCATCTAGCCCGGTCAGCTTTCGTGTGAAGCTGTCCGACTACCTACGCTAGGCTCGTGTGCATGATGTCTACCACGTCTCGTTACTGCGTCCTTACCGCATACCGTCTGAGCGTTTCGCTGGACGACCATACGAGCGCCCTCCACCCATCATGGTGGACGACCACGAGGAGTTCCTCGTTTCAAACATCATTGGTCGCCGAGTCACCGACTACAACCCTTCCCACGTCGAGTATCTCGTACGTTAGAAGGGTTACCCTGATGAGGAGGCTACCTGGAAGCCCCTCGAGCACTTGCAGCACGCTCGCATGTTGGTGTGTGCCTATGACCGTGCTCGTCGTGCTGGGTTCACTGCTCCTCCTCAGCCCACTGACCCTCCTCCTTCTCCTCCGACTGAGGAGACCGCTGAAGTTGAGCCTGCTCCATCTGAGGCAGACCTTCAGCAGCAGCCGGATGCTTCTGAGCGTCCACAGCGCACTCGTCGTCGTCCTGCTCGATACGACGATTGACTCYGACTTACCTTCCCAYGTCTTTGACTTCTCAGTACTCCATCCACATCAGTTTTGCTACTTCAGCTCGTCGACGCTGCGGCTCTTCCTCGACGGCATTCCGGACTTCTCATCGTGGACGTCATCGGCGGCTTCATGGACTTTATCACGATCAGCTCTGCCTACTTCAGACGTCGCCACTCTCTCACCACTCTACCCTGTACAGTACCCTGCTTGTGTCGCATGATGGTCTCCCTTTAGCCGGGTTCCTCTTAGTTGGGCTCTCCCTTGGTATACGCATAGGCATCGGGACCGTAGCGTTGCCCTGGCTTCCCATCTTATGGGTGACATTGGTTAGGTTGGTACTGTTTCTGTTTTACAATGTCCTGGTATAGGGAGGGCTAGCGGTTGCTCTAGGATTACGAGACCAGAATTGTTGTTATAACATAGCTTATTACAATTAGTACTTTTTGGTATCATCTTCATCATCATCATCATCATCATCATCATCGTCACCACATTAGGGACGCTGAGCCCGGTTCTCAGCAAGTTTGGTTCGGTTTTTCTGGGCAGACTGTGAGGACCCTGGCCTCATTTCTCTGATTGGTAATATCAGCCTTGGGCACTGGGCCCGTTTTTTTTTTTTTTTTTTAAATAAAAATAAAACTTTCATCAGGTTCTCGAATGGAGGAGCATAACGGAAACGGCGGAGATGAAGATAACTTACTTCAAGTTACTTGGTTGTGCTTCGAATTAGACTCATGCCGAAGGTTCAACACGTTTCTCTCCCACTTCACAAAATAGACATGGTCGTTTATATCACTCCCAAAGCACTCTACTGGATGTGAACAGTGTCCCCTTTGAGGTAATACTAGATAGTCAACTGAATGGTACAGTAATAGCTCACATATTGCTTTAACAACCTGAACATCACCATGATACAGGCAAACAGAGGGCCAATTTCTTCACAACACTTAGGAGGGTGACTCGACCTTCAACGTGCAAGTAAATGAATAGCTGGTCTTTTTGCAGAGGTGAGTAGTTGGAGTCGATTTTAAGTACGTAGAAATGGAGGACCTCCTTTCCCTAGTCGCACGGGAAGACGAGTCAACGTCAAGTATGCAGGCAAAGGAGGGAGCGATTTCTTCACATCGCTGTGGAGGACGAGGAGGTATTTCCATACATTTACAAATCACCCAAGTTATGGTATGACCCCCAATATAATTTGTGTACACCTAAGGTGTGAGTTTAGACCCCCAAGTGATAGGTCGAAACCCTTAAGTAATTTATAAACCCCTAAAATGACAGTAAGAACCCCTAAATATTTGTAACCTTAAAACGAGAGGGTGGAAGACATAGTAATTGTAACCCTAAAACGAGACCGATTGGACCCCCATTACAATATTTGTAACCCTAAAACGAGAAGGTGGACCCCAAAAATAACTTTTGTACCCGAAAGGTCGTAGGTTGACCCCCAAAGTGTTAGCTTGAACCCCTAGAGTAATTTTTAAACCCCTAAGTGATGGTTAGATCTCGAACGAGTTACACTCTCCCAAGTTATGGTATGACCCTTAAAAAAACTTTCGTAATCCCAAACTGTCAGTTCAAAGTCCTAAAACGCTTTGTTTGACTCCCAAAGTAATTTTGCCCCCCCCGAAAGTTGTGTCGCACCCTGAAACTCCAAAACTGATAGGTTAGTACCCTAAAATAATTTGTCTCACCTGCAATGTAATTTCTTGACCCTTAAAGTGATGTTCCGACCCTCGTACCCCCAAGTGATTCTATTAGAGCACTTGACAGTGGGCGTCGTTTGTATTGCGATTCTACACAAATTTTTTTTCACCTCCAATTCTATGAGGAATCATGACGCGGCCCTCAGCCAAACGTCGTTTGTATTGCACTTCTACAAAATAATTTTTTTTGTCGGATTTTTTTTTGGGGGGGTGGGGACTGCCTGGAATCCTTTCCGGGGGTCCAATGCGAAAGAAACCAGTTCTGCAACCCTCGTATCCTCTTCCCCCATGCACATTGCACCCGTTGTATGCATATCGCACCCATCGTTTCAATCTACTTAACACACAACCCTAATTCATCCACAAACTATGATATGTCCCGAGCGGCTGTCGTTTTTAATGGTGCCCCTAGAGCATCAGCAAAGGCTAGGGCGACAAGTTTATAAGTGAAGCTGAAAGTCCTTCAAGGTGACCTTCAGTAGCGAAAGTAACAACTGCACCCTGAAGCACTAGATGTCTGTCTCTTGTGAAGCGATATTGAAAATCTATGTACAGAAAGTAGGACTAGTTTTGGTGCATCAGAGGGAATATCAGTCCACAAGAGTAGCTGAAGAGGGTGTTCCAGGAGAGGAGATGCGAGTAACTGACTCCAAAGTTCGGATGCTCTTGCCCGGTATGTTGTTGTCTCCTTACATATTAGTATGATATTACTGCATAGTGGATATTATGTTCTTGTTCTTGGTTGGAGTGAGCTATGCAGAGGTCAGAGCTATGATTATTTCCCAAGGAAGGATAGACTTTCAGTGTACCCATAACCCTTCTCTTCTCGCTCCAGTCTCCCTTAAGAAACACGGCCAAAACGGAGCATCGGTTTCTCTCTGAGTCCTCCTCTGGGTAGCTGCCTGATAGAACCATAAACCCTAGGAAGCCTATGGTGAAAGGATTTCACGTTACAAACACCCGAGTCCCGATTCAAGGGTCCCGTAGTGTCCCAATCCCAGATGGTCCCAGTCCCACCTGTCCCAGTAGTTGAGTCCCAGTTAGGGTCGTTAGGGTTCTTAGGTCCATAGGAAGCCGAAACGTCGTAAGTCGATGTCTGGCCGGTACCGTAGAGGCAGAACGGTAAAACTTGAACCGGTACCCAACAAGAAAAGTCCACGCCTAAAGTCAAATTTTGCAGCAGCGTCCCCAGGAAAAGTTCGAAAGGGCCACGAAAATTCATGTAGCAGAAAGGCTGCGGCCGACTGGTACCTATCATAAGCAAACCAAGGCCAAGTCAAGCAGCTATTACTAGCTGCTACAGTGCAACTCACATCATTCATACCCTGCGTGAGTTGCGGAAGCGCTGCTGGTTGCTTGTGCGACCTCACAGCTTGGGCTGTGCGGCAGAGGGTATGCTTGGCGGCGCACCAGTTAGGGTTGAGAAAGGAGAAGGCGGCCAATGCTGCCATAGCTGAAGTTGCAGTTGAAGTAGAGCGGATATATCCAGGGTTACGATCCTAGTAGTAGCAGAAAGAGAGAGGGAGGGAGGGAGAGAGGGGAGAGAGGGAGAGAGCCAGATCGATACAAGCATTGAGAGAGCAACCAAAGAGATAAGAGAGAGAGAGGGGTAGCCGCATGCGCTGATGAGTGCCGACTATGTGAACTCTTAATTTGTACAATATGAGAACTATTCTTTGAGTTTCTGAACTGCGCTGATTTTGGTGTTCCATGCCTGTATTACCTGGCTTTGGTGTGAATTTTTATGTGAGCTTTCATTGTGCATGTTGTGTGAAGAGCAAGTCAGAGCGGATCATTGCAATGGTCGCTCTGTGTGGCCCAATGTCCCTCTGTTGTTGATGCCCTTATCTTTTGTTGTCAGAGGCTGGCAAAGTTGAATTTCTCTTTTTCTGGGCAAAAAAAAAAAAAAACTCATCTGCTTTGAAACTGCAGTAAACATTGAACTCAACAATAATGGAGACACACTCAAGCCAAGCCAGAAAATGACCATAAGTTGCTCCTATTGCAAAGATCGTAGAAGAAGTACAACACAAAAGCAAATTTTTTGATGATTTTTAATAAGCACAGTCAAAATTGTTCGCCAAATGACTCTAAATCCAAACTTGAACTTAAAGGTGTTTGTAGCTCAATGTGTGAGGTCTACAAAAGCAATGAACAGTCAATGAGATAAGGTGAGGCTTGGGCAAAACCGACCTTGCACAACAGCTCACTATCCTTCATAAATGCCCCCGTTCTCCGTTA